TCGGAGTGCGCGAATACCCCTTTCTAACCCGTTCTCTTCAGAGAATGGAACATTTCCACCACGGTGCGTACAGATGTTACAGCTGGGTGGCCATTGTTTGTCGGTGGCTGCCGCAATCACGACTCGGTTGCTATCGGGTTCATCCTCTGTTTATGCGCACCCGGTTGTAAGTAACACATTCAGGATTATTTCTTCATCGCAGATCTGAATCCATATGGTTGGTTGGACAAGGACGGTGGTTCTTCCTTGGGCAGGGCTGAACAAGGATGTGCCTACGGTACACGGTTAAAATGATTGGTTGACTTGTTACTTTTCAATAAAATTTAATCCGCACGTAGTGTCTAATAGAGCCTAAGCTCATGGGCCGAAGAAGCTGAACAGTGGAACTTATCAGAATTACCTTACATTTATTATCCAAATTACCGCGCGACTTTTTTAATATCCGGGGTTAAAAATCGCTCAGCTATAGCCCCCTTTCGATGCCTAGCTGCCGTCCCATACAATGGAAGCACGAAGCTTGAGTTACTGCCAGGTCGCCCAAGTCTAGATCGAAGCAGGCAGAGGTTGTGTTCGAACCACGGACCTTTCGAGTAGTAAGTTCGCGCCCAGTTTGGGTTCGAGGTGGCAGTTAACTGTACCGGAGGAGTTTCAGAAAGTTCGGTGCAGTCTCATTGATTATTGTAAGGGAACTCAAATACTTGCGTATCACCCATGTGAGCGGTGTGCTTATACAACTCTACAAGGACTAGCGTAATGGTCGTAAGTCATATCGGTGGGATACCGTATTGATAAGAAAAGCCTAAATGCTTCAAGTCGTTCATGAGGAATGCGTGGTGGTGTGTGTGACCGATGCTCGTTTAGAAAAATATTGCCTCAACAGTTATTCGTTCGTTAGAAGTGAGGCACTGCATCCTCGAACAAGACCTTTTTTTCAAATTTGCAACCGACAAGTGTTCCGTTCGCTACACGGGATAGTTCCGGCCCTCTTTCAGCTCTTTGCAAAGCTTTAGGAATAGCTTTGCGGTCATTTTCTCATCCCGTTTCAGGTATATGCGATGCTCATTGTTCAAAATTCCCAAGAGCATCGAGTAAATTTTGCGTCCGAACTCCAAAATTTTCTACCAACAAGGAAATGCGCCTAGTGTTGCTATAGCATTCTTTCCAGTCTGTGGTTACTGATAGTACTCGGTACGCACACGTTGCGCGGTTTCACGTTATTGTGTTTTAATAATTGCTTTGGATTTTCAGACTAGCTTTCATAAAAGGCTAGCAGACATATTCAGAATGCCCCAGGCAGAAAGAATGAGATAAGGTGGTTGCTGGGTTCCGTTTGAAGTATACTAACATAGTTCTGGGATAAAAAAAAACGCCCTGCGTGGTGTAGCTCAAAGGCGATAATACGTATATCGTTATGTCATCCCCGAAGCATCGAACTGCCATAGTGATTTAAGTTGCTCATTCTGATCACATTTGGCCCCGGTCAAATCGGAGCATCCCACATGAGCTTGCCGAAATTTTTAATCCTGAGCGCCCCTGTTACTTGGACCATTTCGGATGCTTTCGAATCGTCCAGCTGTAGCACCCTTTCGGTGCCTAGCTGCCATGCCACCCGAAGGATGCACGGGGGCTGGGATACTGTCAGGTCTCCCAAGCCTAGACAGGAGAAGTCGAGTGGCAGAGGTTAGGTTCGAACCACGGACCTTCCGGTCAGTAGATTAGTGCTCTAACCACTTGATCCATCTCGCCTTCCATCTCTGTTTTGGAGCTAGCAGTCACCTTATCACAATGATACGAACGGTTGGGCCCCGGAGCAAAAGAACCTCCGTAGTCTTCACACACTTGAAAGGGCATCATGCAGTTGTTTGCAGGTGGTTTGCATCGTTTGTTCAAATTGAGCGTGATATTTCTCGGTGTCTTGCTGAGGTAGGTCTCGCTCGTCGAATAATAGCTGGTGCCTTTGCGACCCGGAAGTTGCTTTATCCGAGCCTTTTCAGTCAGTTTAATTTCGGGTCTAGTTATAATCTGTCACCAAGTAGTTGGTGAACTAGGCTTTCGAATCAATTCGATGTTCGTTCGTCGGTTTCCCAACTTCGGGAAGTTGCGTTTCATCCGTTATACAGCTATGGACCAACCGACACCAGAACTGCAGAATGACGACCCAGTGGCAGTAAAATGAGATAATGTAGGCGGGGCAACATAGTGGCATGCAGAATAAGTCAACCGATAACTCACACATAGTTTAAACATAGCATCCGCCGGATTTCAGTTGTGCGTTGATCAGCTGACTAGTTGATCGCATTGCTTAACGGTTGCACCGTCGTTTACGCGATGCTTCATCTACACTGGACAGGTGTTTACTGGAGTCTCAGGGCATGCACCTTACCCTGATCTCAGCAGCATAGCATATATCTAGGCTAGACCAGGTGATCTTGACGTTAGGTTTTGCCAATTCTTTGTTACGGATAAGTTTACTGCGGAGACGCTCTCTGTACTATACTACCACAGAGGAACTTAAGGCCATTTGTTAAAAACGTCAAGGCTCTGACGTCCAAGTTAAGAAGACGATTCGACCACTGCAAATGGTGATATTTTGATTCTACCCCGGGGTTCATCGTGTGGAACAGACTTAACGCGTGCTGAAAAACCTAGGAGTACTGTGCTCTTATGGGAGCTCCATGCCCACGTTCTCCGTCTGTTTATTGAGTGTTAACGATGTATCCATTCCGGTACTTGTCACTGGTTTGTTGCTGCCAAACGACAGTCGGCCATCAATTATGATAAATGAAGCAATTGCGAATGCTCTGACACTTTGGTTTACCCTCTATTGACCGGTAAAAGCGCAAAGAAATATCTGGTGGTTAATATAGGTCACATAGGACATATTTCGTACAACAGCGAAGTTTTTGAAGCCTTGACGGGATGAGTAAAACAAACTAGTCTGGATCTGGCACTACCTTATGGCATGTGATTTGAACAGAAACTGATAGCGCAAACGAAAATAATCGTCAGTGATTTCTACAGGTACGGATTCCTTTGCAGTGACTTTCCTTTTGATTATCCGGTTTGTCTTCGGGATGCAGCATAACTGACTACCGTTTGAGCAGTAGCCTCGTAGTTATTTCGTTTCAATAAGCCATCGACCACAGCAGCACCTTATTCTCCTGGTCGATGAGCGGCTCTATGTCTGTGGTACCAATCCGGCCGACCACTATTCGTCCCTCAGCCTAGCAGTCCTACCTGTCAGTCCCATTGGGGATGACCGATTGTTTCGCAGTAACGAAGCCAAGGTACCGCCGGACGGGGAGTATTCTCCGCTATTAGTCTCGGCCCGAGTGCTTTTCTCCTATAAGTCGTCTGACAATCGAAGTAACATGAAGAACTTTGTATTTCACTCCTTAGAGGCGTCATATTGAAAGTTTCCGTGAGTGAACGGATCGCTTTCGTCGAATTCATTCAGTTGTAAAATATGGATAGGCGTATCTGGGCGGTATCATAGCGGTTGCGGACAAAATGAGAACGAACTATTTACAAGAGGTAAAAAAGACGGGTTGTCAGCTTACCACGGCCATCTCCAACAATCCGTCAACTGCTGTTGGTAACGTCATTTGTGGTTCCCTTGTGGGCGAAGATAACAAAGGTTGCATACGCCTTTTGTGAGTGCATACTACCCGTTTGAACAAGCATATACTAATGGCCGTCCCCAGCAGTCATTCTCTATATTTCGGGTTTCTATGGCTCTGGAATCAACTTGGTGAACAGTGTCCACCAAGTTAGCTATTATTGAGCTGGAGTTTGTATATATGAGTTCGCAGTTAATGCGCTGGACACTGGTCTCGGATATGTTCTTATAATTACCTTTGTATCTGATCTAGTACACGGGGACAGGAGAAAATAATTGGTCAGCGTGGGCTGAATCAGAGCATAGACAGCTTCTCTGCGTACTGAATCCGCGCCATCATGTGGGTCAATCTGACAATACCGACTACCCACCTGTTGTAACTGTATTTTCCTCAGCTTAGTTCTCGGTCTGAGCCTCCCAAGCTAGCGTTCACGTCAAAACAAACACCAAAGGTGCAAAAGGTCTATTAACGCCCAAAACGAAATCAGGAACAGTTGTACAGCGCTTCGTATATATAGCGTAAGCGGCTATAACTTTCTGGAATTTCTGACGCGTTCTGGAGCTCCATTGGCAACCGGCATTTGGCCAATACTGGGTCATGATTGGCTGTTGGGTCCAGATTGTTGACCAATCAGATCTCGTCTTGATGCCGGACCGGCAAGCGTCCCGAATTTTGGGCCAACCTCGAGCGGGCTAGGCTTCTCGGCCATAGCAGCGCCTAAAGACGTGCGGTATAGTGGGATCCGCGTGGATTCCTGCCTAACACCACCAGAAAGGGTGGTTTTATAACAAGTAGCTCATTAGCAGTCGTTGACAGTGTTTTACATCTCCAAAGCCTCAGGGAGGGAGGTATTCTCCAGTAGGTCCCTCTATTCAGACCTACAATCACCTCTTGTGATTCATCTTGAATCCTTCTTTCTCGGGCAACAAGCATACGGACTACGTTATTTCATGTTAATGGATAGAAGTTAATATATTGCCCGGTCCGTGTCGCTTTACAGTGTACAATGCGTTGTACTGAACCTAGGAAATGCGGACTGCAATTATTTTACCCTTTTCTGTTGTAAAGTGAATTGCTGCACAAATCATTAAGTGTACTACTCAGTATCGTATCCAGGTTCAACTCACCATTTGCAATGACCATAGGCGTCGATCTTCCATATTTCTTACATGGTACAGAACCTCGGCGCTCCAGCCTGACGTTTCTAATGTCGACCACTACTCATAAGTTTGTTGAGTCTCCCCTCACAACCAAATTAGTATTCAAGTGAATTTATTTAGCGCATATCGTGTAATGCTATCTCTGTTGGTGTCACATAATGGACAGTAAACTGGGTACTGTGTCGACATCTCGATATGCATGATTTCTTCCACTTTTCAGGCGACAGCTGCCAATCCACAGGTGCCGAAGGTAATGTTACATCCACTTTTAGCCGATAAATGTTTAGCACGTCAATCTCGCAGACTCGGACCTTCCAGAAGAGGAGAAAATAAAAATCATGATGGAACGGTCCTCAGAGGCCTATTCCGAGAAAAAGTAGGCTACTTTCGTCTTTAACTAAGCCTTAGTTTTGCCGTCAAACCAAAACCCTACGGAGTTCCACCCGCAGCCTATATTTGCCACAAATGTGGTCTTCCGGGGCATTGGATTCACAACTGCCCAGGAGTTCGTGACAAAACGGGAAAGATGATGGATGTCAAGTCCGTAAAACGCCCCACCGGTATCCCTCAGGATTTCTTGCTGGAGGTTGATGCTGGAACGCCAGGAGCATACCTTGGGAAGTCAGGGAAGTACATGGTGCCTATAAAAGATGCGTAAGTATCTCGGTCCCTTCTATAATTTTCGGTTTCAGTGAAGCATATGCACAAGGGAAAAAGGACAAAAGGCCGTTTTCTCTCGAGGAGAATCCACCATACGTTCCATCCGAACGAAAACCACCAAAACAGTTCATCTGCCCTCTGTGCAACGACATGTTCCGGGATGCTGTTCTGGTGTCGTGCTGTGGTACCACTTATTGCAATGAATGTATTTTGGGGCACGTATTTGACTCTCAGGTTCTTGGTTCACACAAGTGCCCAAACTGTGGGGCAGTTCTCACTGACCATGAATCAAGTGTTTTTGAAAACGCCCTTGTTCGAAGCATGATTCGTGATTGGTTAGCCAACGAAGCAGCTTTGCCGGATTCTGATGCCAGTGCTCTCCAGCCCGATATATTCAAAATGAACATAACAGAGAAGGTAACCTACTTCTTGTTTGTTGACTTTTCCCTCTCTAGGCATTTATCAATAACCGACGGGTTTTGAAGCCCAAACAAGCTTTGAGTTCCACGCCAGCACCCGCAGGAAAACAATCTGACTCAACTTCGGAGATTCAGAAGACTACTGCCTCACCAGTAGCGCCTTCTGAGGACGTGACAACCGTGGAGAATGTGGTCTCTTCAGCATCCACTACTGCAGCCCCCTCATCCAGTGACTCCATTCCTGTTTCCTCCACTGCCTCTCTTTCTCCACCCATTGACTCAGAAAATGTTGAACTCAATGTTGAAAATACTCACGCTCATGTTGTACAATCTAATACATGTACTGCTGTGGTTGCAAGTGCGCCTTGTACCACGTTAGTGGGATCTAGCAGACAACCTCTGTTAGGTTCTACTTCCGGTCTTTCAAGTTCACGATTTCCCTGTATAAGTTATTCCAGTTCCACGGCAGTAGTGCCAACCATTCTACCGAGTATTAGTGGCGGTAGTAATCCACTGCTTAACGCACTCTATAATCTGCATGTAGAAAATCTACAGCCAGTGGCCGCTCCACAAGTTGTTCTGCCTATGCCTTTTCAAGGTCCCCTTATTGGTGGCCCTGAGTGGGCGGGTAGCTCAGCGCTGGCTGTCTCAGTCCCTCAACCCACTGGTTTAGTCGATCCGCTTCTTCAAGTAACTAGTAATCAGTCTGCCTACGGTCTAACATCTGGGCAGCCCATTCCCGGAAGCCTCAACCCCGCTCCTCTCCAGGCTTTAGATGGACACAAAGTTCTCTCAAAAGAAGAATTCTATCGGCTGAAAATGGAGATGCTTCACTCGGCTCGTATAAGGTAACCCTCTTATAGTCTCATTTGTCGGTGCTGGTGCTATTCATGTTAAAATTTTCTGCGATCGGTGTGTTTTTACATATAGGATTTAGGCAAATTTCCTGTTGCAATATTCCATCTGCTCTTCCATATGTGTAATTGGTTCATTCGGTTCGGGCCCATACCGACATGAATTTCATCAAAAAACACTTCAGGAGGATCACCAGGGTCTTATTCGTGTGTCGTTTTCCTGTCATATACGATTCGTGGGAGCCGTTCGTTACAGCTCCCACTTTGTTACCCATGTCCTTTCTCCTGACAGACTTCACCTCTCTGCCGCTGATCGCTGATATATGTGCATTTTGGTTCGTCGTTGAGCCCAGCTGTTCGATGGAAGTGTATCAGTAGGACTTAACTTTGTGCCACTCATTAGTGAACGACCCTAGTTCACAGATGTGTTTAGTCTCGAGATGTTGCCTTCTTGCCTGTTTTGAGTGTTGAGGGTCAATGATCAATAGCTGCAGGACACCAACTTTCCCAAGTTCCTGATATGTTCTGACACCTTTTTGTAGCTACCTTTCGAGATTGCTATTACAGTAGCATTGCAGCCTTTATGTATTTTGGAACCAAGGCAGTGAAGTGTAAGTGTCCTCATCTGGTACCACTGTCCCCGATGATGATGAACCAAGATGAAATCTCTTCGATTTGTCCTTACATAACTTTCCTCTTGCGTGTCCGTCCTCTGCCTAATCGAACTATCTGTCCTACTAACTGGCGTCTATAGTACACCGTTTTGGTGCCACACCAGAGTCAAAATGAGTGGCATCCCTTCGTGTTCTCAAACTGGTTTTCCCATGCAGTATCGATGCAGATTCTTTATGGTTGGCAGCTCCATATTGACAGTTGATCCACCAGGTAATCAATACGCATGTATCTTTAAGTTATCAACCAACACCACTCTGAGGTGTGCGTCCTCACTTCAATCTTAGGTACGGGGATGCTTCTAGGGTACTGCTTTTCTATGCCTGTGCGACCGAGGTTCAGAGCTGTTAGACCTTCGAAACTACGTTATCACCATACCTGTTCAAAACGCTCATAATACATGTTTTGTTTGATAACGAATGCAGAGTCTGACCGCGCTTCCTTGTTACTCAATGTTGATAGAATCTATCAACGGTTAGTCACCGATTAATCGTACGGTTATCACTGGCCAATGTGTCATCTGTACGTGGCAAGGATACCCTACTTCGGTACTGCTCTCGCGCGAATCGAGGTCAATAAAAGCCGAAGTATTGGGTAGCTGTGCAGGGGCGCTTTGGCTGGACTTGTTTTGGTGTTTTTGACATTAATAACATTTCATTTCTCATTCCGAACGGAAGTAATAGCAGAAAAATAGTCGGTTTCGTTCGCTGCACTAAGACTTGGCTGGTTTTTCGTGCGGCTCCCGTTCTATAGCATAATCGGAAGTGCGTCATAGTAAGTCTCCTGGGTACTGGCGTGAATAGGCTGAATAAATTCAACCCACACTGCCTACCACTATTTTCAGACATCCATTTGATCTCGAACCCTGAATAACCCGGATTTTAAGTTTTCCCTAGTTTCTACCATGTAGCTGACAATTTTACAGCTGTCAGCTCAAAGCACTTAGTGATCTTCTCCCTATCAAATGTACATATATCAGAGTTGGCAGCATAGCTGTTCCAGTCGAGGTACCGGTAACTCAACACCGAACGACACCACTCTAATTTGTTTGAAGAAGTATTCCCGGATGGAGCAATGAACCACACTGAGCAATTTTGAGGATCAAAATTGATTAATCTGGTGTGTGCTTGTTCTAGGTCTGTATACCTCTTGCATCTATACGAGGTCATTTATGGCTAGAATTACACTTGCAAACAACCAGGTTGAATCTACCCCATTCTGACACTTGTAGGAACTCTTGCATAAAAAAGATCTAATCGTTCAGCTGCGGAACCCTCCCTCGGTTTCTGATTTCCATGCCAACGTATGGAGGCATGAAGGTAGGGATACTGCCACGTTGATCAAGCGTAGACAGGAGCAGTTTAGATGCAGAGGTTAGGCTCCAACCACGGATCTTCCGGTCCGTAAGCTGGCGTTTTAACCACAACTATCTCTAGCCCGAACGTCTAAATATGGATTAGAGTTACTCGACTTCGTAACCGACACGATTCCTAGAGTCATTGATCTACAACCCCTGTGATGGGCCCCAATAAAGTGCGTTGTTTC